GCGGGGGGGAGGAAAGGGGGGCGGGGGAAGAGAAGCACTTTTATTGATGCAAAAAACTTTCCTCTCCTCGTGTCCCTGCTACATAGATCAGCTGCAGGAGGGACAGGAGCGCGGCGCAGCTGTGCGCTAATATACACACACATTCCGACATGCATAAACTTCTCCTGTGTACACAGCGTGTCTGGTTCCTTAGGTGCAACTGAAAACCATCCAAGAAGCATCATTGCTGTAGACAAACCCAACAGTTTCTTCCCTAACTTATTCGCCCAGGCCCGGAGGAGAGGGTGCCCATGGAGAAAGGCTCGACGCCGTTTATGAAAAGCTAGCAGGAAAACGACAGCACGCCACCGAGACCGCAGCACCCAGCAAAGCTCCTTTTAGCCCTCACCACCCCAGCACCCGCAGCGCTCCGGGGCTCATCCCACGTCTCCCAGGCCCGACTCTGGCAACAGTGCCCAGGGAGGACGCGGGCTGCCCGTGGGCTCCAGCTGGCACGGGCAGGGATGATTTAAGCCCCACGCTCCGGCAATGCTCAACCACGGCGCAGGAAGCCTCCCGCCAGCTCTCGGAAGGATGAACCCTCCAGCCTCATGGAGCAGCTCCCACCCGTGGTCCTTCGGGGGCTTCGGCAGCGCCGTGAGCTGAGCCCTGGGGTCCGGAGGGAGAAGCTGCGCCGAGGGCAGAGGTATTTAACTCACGATCTGAAAGATTAACGTATTGTACGGTATCGGCCGTTCTGGCTACTCGTTTGCTATCCTGCTGCAGCTTCGGTATCACAGCTAATCTTCTGCTGGGGAGCTTCCTCAAAAATACTGCATACCTCGTCAGCTAACCTGTATAAATATTTTTAATGTAAGTTGGGAGGGTTTCAGAAGCTGTTGTTTAAAAATTTATATGCACCTGCGTGCGGCAGCAAACTAATTCTTCTCCACACAAATGGAGCTCCAGCCAATAAAACAACTGGTGGGAAAACGCTTAGCGAATTAACATTTTAATATCCTTTTACTACTCAACTCAAGATACTTTCACCACCGAGTCATTTGAATTTTTATTATTTTTAGCTTTGCAATGTCTCAGTAACTCAAACGTTTAATGCTTTGAAGATTAAACAATGTAATGGCACAAGAGCCGAGAGAAACGCAGCGTTTCATGCCCTGACATAGCTGATGTCTGGCTGTGGTCAGAAACATTCCTTTGTACAAAACCGTCTGCCCAGCTTTGTTTTTATAAATGCTGGGGAAGGAAAAAAAGAAAAAAAAGAAGTTAAATGTGGTAGAGATGCAAAGAGAGCAGTTAGGAAACCAACTGCCATTCAAAAAAAGAACACAAATTTGGGATTGTATCGACGTACGCACGCAGGCGCAGCATGTATATGTTCTATATATGTATTTAAATAAAGGTGTAAAGGGTGTTTAAGTGTGCAGCCCGCGTGGGGACGGCCACAGCCTGCCTGCAGACACCTGCCCCCTTCCTATGGCTT